TGACCCAGCCATCCCATTACTGGGTATATACCCAAAGGATTATAAATCATGCCACTATAAAGACACATGCACACGTATGTTTATTGCGGCACTATTCACAATAGCAAAGATTTGGAACCAACCCAAATGTCCATCAATGAGAGACTGGATTAAGAAAATGTGGCACATATACACCATGGAATACTACGCAGCCATAAAAAAAGGATGAATTCATGTCCTTTGCAGGGACATGAATGAAGCTGGAAACAATCATTCTCAGCAAACTATGACAAGGACAGAAAACCAAACACTGCATGTTCTCACTCAGAGGTGGGAACTGAACAACGAGAACACTTGGACACAGGGAGGGGAACATCACACACCGGCCTGTCTGGGGAGGTGGACTGTGGGAGGGACAGCATTAGGAGAAATACCCAATGTAAACGATGAGGTAATCGGTGCAGAAAAACCAACATGGCGCATGTATACCTATGTAACAAATCTGCACGCTGTGCACATGTACCCTAGAACTTAAAAAAAAAAGAAAAAAGAAAAAATCAATTCCCAAAGCATTTCTCTATTTCTCTCATCTCTTCTGAAAAAGTTCCAAAAACACAACTCCAAAGATGAAGCGGAAGTTAAAGGTAAACAGGCAATAGCGCTGAATACGTAATTTCAGTAACTCAGAATTTGCTCCATCCTCTGCTCTAAAGCTTAGCTACAGAAGAGCATCACCTTTGAAACATTTTCCCAAACATAAAGATATCCAGAATATGAAGCTGCCATTAAAACTGTGACATAGATCTTCCTTTACTGAAAACATCCCTAAAGTTCTAAATACGAGGTACAGAACCACATCAACCGCCTAATTTGTCTGTAGCCTAAGCTCAAGTACGGAGTTTATCTGCAAGCGGAATTGGGAAATATTTCAGCCAGCATCTCCTCGCGCCATCCTGATACCTACACACTTGAGGCCACCGAGTCACCTGCGCAGCCGTTGCTCCTCCAAGACCAATCCGGGCTCCCCAGACCCATGGCCCTGAATCTGGAGCACAGCAGACCGCGTGACAACAGCGACTCGGAGATCAGCACCCGTCGGGAAAGCCGGGTACCCGCTGAAGCTGGCGTCACGCCCAAAGGAACAAACGCCAGAGCGTGTGTCCTGGGCAAAGGCGACCCGCCGCTCCGGTCCCCGGGCAGCAGCGGCCGGCGTCAGGCCGCAAGGCGAGGGGCGGGGACGGGACGCTACCCTGCAGCCAGGCGCCGAGCGGCAACACCACTCCGGCCTTGCGCCATTCCGGCCCTACTACGGCCGGGGGCGGCAGCGCGGCTGGGCTCAGCGGCTCGCAGCCCGGGCGCCCCCCCTGCCGGCCGCTTGCTAGCTCAGCCTCACCTGCAGTCTTGTCCGCTGGCTCGCTCGCCCGCCCACAGGTCGACAGGGCCCAGCGACCCCACGAGCGACTCCACGTAAGGCACTGACCGACAACGCTCCGCGACCGCCGCGCCCCGCCCCTTTTGTGACACTACCTACCAATCGCTGGACGACGCTCTCGCTACCCTCCAATCAGCGCTGGTGGGGCGGGCCTGGACCCGGACGTGGGCCGTTGCAGGGGCGCCAGGGCGCTGGGGCCTTCTTGGCATTCCCTGTAGGTTGTGGGTTACAAGGCCCGGATGTTGATCTTTTATTCCTAGCAACACCGCACCCCTGACTCTTGCCCACGCGGGCGTCTTGAGGGCGGCCGCACGGCCTGCTGGGAACGGCGGGGTTGCCGGAGTGCTCTCCGTCGGACCCACCGGGGATCCTCTTCCAGGCGCCTGATTTGCTGGGGATAGGCGATACAGGCAGATGCTGTCCAGTAGGTGGCCTCTCCAGAGCCAGGGGCACTCCTGGTGCGTTTGGGCCAGCCTGCCCTGAACAAATCCGCTTCGGGCTTCAACGACCCCTAATGTTTCTGGCCTCAATTGCCTCATCTGGAAAATGGGGGCATTACCGTGCTTGGTTGAAGACAAGGGTGAAAACAGGTAACTTTCTGTGGTCCTCGTACAAGTTACTGAGGACTGTAGGCCAGGCAATGGAGTAGACACCCTGGGCTCAAATCCCAGCTTTGGGTAAGCCCAGCCAGGCCTCCTGCTCCAGTTTCCAAGCTACTGAGCTGCGGCGTAAGCAGTAACTGGCTTCAAGCTAACACCTGCCTTTCAACCTAACATGGGAGCCCACTGCCTCGTTCCGCCTACCGATTTTCCAACTCCGTGAACCTCCTTCACTACGTGGGTTATTCAGCTGACAAAGAATGTCATCTCGCTCCCGGTGCGGGCTCACTCATCCTCGACTTCTGGCTCAGAGGAGCCGGTCTAATATGAAACTAAACACCTAAGCTGTGTCTCCTGTCCTCTCATTCTTCTGAGACCCTACCCACCAACTTATCTCCACAGTTCAGCGAACTATTGAGCATACACTGGGGGAGTATGGTGAGGCACTAAGCTTTGATTCACCAGTCTCGCCGCTGGTTCCTTCTGAAACTCTACATATGCTTAATGCTAAATAGATTGGAGCCCTTTGGGGACAGAGTTATGATGGTAATAATCTTTGCCTTCCTGAGCCTAGAATAGGGCCTGTGATGGAGACTTACTGAGTAAAAACCGTTTACACTGGAGAATTGACAGCATGGACCGTGGAGTCAGGCAGGTGTGTTTAAAGCCTTGGCTCTCCATACTGGAAGCTCCATTACCTGGCCAAGTCATTCATTCTTTACAACATCTTCATCATTATCATCTACCATTTTTCGAGTGCCAGATAGTTGACAAAGGTCTTTACATATTCTCTCCCCATCACAATCCTGCAAGGTTGGTATTTGAAACCCCTTGTCTACAAAGAAGTAAACAAAAGCTAATTAAAGTAGAACAATTTGCCTATAATCAAACAGCTCTATGTCGGAAAGCCAGATTTAAATGTAGGGCAAAATACAAAAATCCAAACTCGTTCCATTATTCCACATCGCTTCCAGATTTTAGCTTCATCTGTAAAATTAGTGTTACTACATAACCTATCTGATAGACCATGGAGACTGAATAAAACAGCATTAAAAGTTGTTACCATGGGAACTTTTTTTTTTTACATAAGTTCTCTCTCCCTTTCAAGCCTCTCAAAATAGCAGTTTGTGTATTTTCTAAATCTATTGTCTCCTGAATCCCCTGAAATCAATCCTACTGATTGATGAGTAGATTTAGTTGTTCCAAAAGAAAATCACCATATTTAACAAATGCTGACTCTGACCCACACTGGGTCCGAGAGCAAGAAACTATTTGCGCAAATAACCTAAGGACAGAAGGAAGATGCATAAAATGAATAGGGGAAAGGAGTGGGCAACTAGCAAGTGCCTTCGTCTGTCATCATGTCACTCTCAGAGCAGACTTGGGCAAATGGTTGACCTGTGGGAGCTGTAAAAATCTTGACTCTGGATATGAGTAATTCCCCATCTGATCTTACAGTACCCAAGGAAGTAGTCAGTAGCTCCAGGATCGCTGAGACCAACCTGGGCTGCCTACAAGATTGTGCTGTGGTGACAGGCTGAATAGTCAGCAGCAAGACGACAGAGCACCAAAAAGCACAGACTAGAATGGGATCAGCAGTCCAGGTGGCTGGTGGCTACTGCCTTTGTCGATGCAGATAAAGAACGTTTTCATTCCCACAGAGTTCAATGGGGCAGTGCTGCTCTAGAGGCTGATGTTTCCATCCTCAGCACTTCCCCCTGCTATTACCTACATTCATTCTGCTACTTCCACAAGGCAAGAATGAACAGGATGCCTTAGAGCAATGGTCAGCAAACTGTTTATGTAAAGGGGCAGGGCCAGTCATGGTGGCTCAAGCCTGTAATCCCAGCACTTTGGGAGGCCAAGGTGGATGGATCACGAGGTCAGGAGTTCGAGACCAACCTGGCCAACATGGTGAAACCTCGTCTCTACTACAAATACCAAAATTAGCTGGGTGTTGTGGCAGGTGCCTGTAATCCCAGCTACTTGGGAGGCTAAGGCAGGAGCATCGCCTGAAGCCGAGAAACAGAGGTTGCAGTGAGCTGAGATCATATGATTACACTCCAGCCTAGGTGACAGAGCAAGACTCTGTCTCAAAAAAATAAAATAAAAGAGTCAGATAGAAAACGTCTGAGGCTCTGTGAGCCATCCAGTCTCTGTCATAATTACTCAACTCTTACATTGGAGGTAGGGTGAAAGCAGCAATAGAAAGTAAGTAAATGAATGAGTATGGTTGTGTTCCAATAATACTTTATTAGCAAAATCTGACAGTGGGTTTGGGGGAGGGCATAGTTTGCCAAACTAAAATAAAAATTTATTAAAGATTTAAATGTGGCCAAGCATGGTGGCTCACAACTGTAATCCCAACACTTTGGGAAGCAGAGGCGGGTGGATCACAAGGTCAGGAGGTCGAGACCATCCTGGCCAACATGGTAAAACCCTGTCTGTACTAAAAATACAAAAATGAGCCAGGCGTGGTAGCACATGCCTCTAGGCTAGGGTAGTCTCGAACTTCTGACCTCAATTGATCCACCTGCCTTGGCCTCCCAAAGTGCTAGGGTTACAGGTGTGAACCACCATGCCCAGCTGAGATCTGATGGTTTTATACATGTTTGACAGTTGCTCCTTCACATATTCACACTCTGTGCGGTCACCATGTTAGTCGGACCTGGTTCCCCTTCTGCCATGATTATAAGTTTCCTGAGGCCTCCCCAGCCATGTGAAACTGTGAGTCAATTAAACCTCTTTCCTTTATAAATTACCCAACCTCAGGTATTTCTTTATATCAGTGTGAAAACTGATATATTTTCTGATAACCATGCTTGAGGAATTGGGGAATTCAGACTATCTGGGATCAAATTGTGGCCCCACCCTTAGCAGTCATGTGACCTTGGGGAGGTTACTTACCTTCTCCATCTCCACTTCTTCTGTAAAATCTGTAAATGAGACTGTTTCTGAGGGTTAAATGAGCATAGCATAGTGGGGACACTGTCAGGCGCACACTGCTTGCCACATGTCGAGTATTCATCTTTATTGAATTAGGACAGTGGTAACCCACTTTATGGATCTCGATTTTGTATGACAAAATCATGCTTAGTGCTTTGTTAGTAAAAGAAGGAAAATCTGAAAGTCCCTGCCATGGAAGGAAGAAATAGCGGGGAGAAAAGGGAGTTGGTAAGTTTCAGCATTTCAGAGCATGGAGGGACAAGTTAGGTTTCTATTTTATGGAGAAGGAGGTGGAGGCAGGATGGGTCCTAAGGTGTCATTCAAGACACACAGCCATAACTGTTTATTGAGAGTAAGCTAGGGCCCCAGGGATTGCTGTGGTCAAGTTGTAGACAAAAACGACCACTCATTGGAAGACAGGAGAGGAGTGTTTAGTTACAAAAGCAGTCAGCCATTCAGGTGTATCTATATTCAGTCAGCAAGTAAAAGTTGTTCAACTTAGTTGCTAATGGCCCACTCTACTGAGGCTTTGTGTAGAACTCATAGAGGAAGATGGCTTCAAGTAACGAACTACCCTGTGCTTTTCTTAGGACTAAAAAGCTCAGGAAGCTGGTGATGAATGAAAACCTTAGTCCACCTGGCACTGCAGGAGGGGCCAGGAGAGCAGCAACATCATAAGCCACAGGGCGGGGTAGCCCAGGGAGGGGCATTCTGAGCTGTTGGGGAGGGGTGGCAGCCAGGGTGGGGCACTGTGAGCTGTCGGGGAGGGCATTGTGATGTGTGGGGTGGGGCATTGTGTGCCACATGCCTGGGCTCCCACCTGGGCCAGTGGGCTTCAGTCTGTAGGTGACTACAGAAGGAGGAGGAGCTCCCTCTGTTCTCTCTTCA